TGCCATATTCACAACGTTTCGGCCGTTGTACGCTCCGGCCTTTATGTCTATGTCTCTCTATATCTCTGTCTATATCTCTGAGATGAGGTATTATGATTACTTGCATTATTTACATTATTCGGACTGTTATCCTCATCTTCATTGCCATATTCACAACATTTCGGCCGTTGTACGCTCCGGCCTTTATGTCTATGTCTCTCTATATCTCTGTCTATATCTCTGAGATGAGGTATTATGATTACTTGCATTATTTACATTATTCGGACTGTTATCCTCATCTTCATTGCCATATTCACAACGTTTCGGCCGTTGTACGCTCCGGCCTTTATGTCTATGTCTCTCTATATATCTGTCTATATCTCTGAGATGAGGTATTATGATTAATTTTATTATTTACATTATTCGGACTGTTATCCTCATCTTCATTGACATATTCACAACGTTTCGGCCGTTGTACGCTCCGGCCTTTATGTCTATGTCTCTCTATATATCTGTCTATATCTCTGAGATGAGGTATTATGATTACTTGCATTATTTACATTATTCGGACTGTTATCCTCATCTTCATTGCCATATTCACAACGTTTCGGCCGTTGTACGCTCCGGCCTTTATGTCTATGTCTCTCTATATCTCTGTCTATATCTCTGAGATGAGGTATTATGATTACTTGTATTATTTACATTATTCGGACTGTTATCCTCATCTTCATTGCCATATTCACAACGTTTCGGCCGTTGTACGCTCCGGCCTTTTATGTCTATGTCTCTCTATATATCTGTCTATATCTCTGAGATGAGGTATTATGATTACTTGTATTATTTACATTATTCGGACTGTTATCCTCATCTTCATTGCCATATTCACAACGTTTCGGCTGTTGTACGCTCCGGCCTTTATGTCTATGTCTCTATATCTCTGTCTATATCTCTGAGATGAGGTATTATGATTACTTGTATTATTTACATTATTCGGACTGTTATCCTCATCTTCATTTGCCATATTCACAACGTTTCAGTCGTTGTACGCTCCGGCCTTCATGGCTGTGACTCTCTATATATCTGTCTATATCTCTGAGATGAGGTATTATGACTACTTGCATTATTTACATTATTCGGACTGTTATCCTCATCTTCATTGCCATATTCACAACGTTTCGGCCGTTGTACGCTCCGGCCTTTGCGTCTATGTCTCTCTATATATCTGTCTATATCTCTGAGATGAGGTATTATGATTACTTGCATTATTTACATTATTCGGACTGTTATCCTCATCTTCATTGCCATATTCACAACGTTTCGGCCGTTGTACGCTCCGGCCTTTATGTCTATGTCTCTCTATATATCTGTCTATATCTCTGAGATGAGGTATTATGATTACTTGCATTATTTACATTATTCGGACTGTTATCCTCATCTTCATTGCCATATTCATAACGTTTCGGGCCGTTGTACGCTCCAACCTTTATGTCTATGTCTCTCTATCTCTGTCTATATCTCTGAGATGAGGTATTATGATTACTTGCATTATTTACATTATTCGGACTGTTATCTCATCTTCATTTGCCATATTCACAACGTTTCGGCCGTTGTACGCTCCGGCCTTTATGTCTATGTCTCTCTGTATATCTGTCTATATCTCTGAGATGAGGTATTATGATTACTTGCATTATTTACATTATTCGGACTGTTATCCTCATCTTCATTGCCATATTCACAACGGGTGTTCGGCCGTTGTACGCTCCGGCCTTTATGTCTATGTCTCTCTATATATCTGTCTATATCTCTGAGATGAGGTGAGGTATGATTACTTGCATTATTTACATTATTCAGACTGTTATCCTCATCTTCATTGCCATATTCACAACGTTTCGGCCGTTGTACGCTCCGGCCTTTATGTCTATGTCTCTCTATATCTCTGTCTATATCTCTGAGATGAGGTATTATGATTACTTGCATTATTTACATTATTCGGACTGTTATCCTCGTCTTCAGTATCATATTCACAATGTTTCGGCCGTTGTACTCTCCAGTTTTCTTCAGGTGATTGGGATTTTGAACCGAACCCTAACCGCGGTAGATTGTTCTAGTTCCACGTACCATGCCTCTTTCGGATATATCAGTTATTTCCCTTAAACTCAGCACTCCAAATTTTGGTTTACCAGTGCTGTGGCCTGGTACTCAACTAACAACTCTTTGGGTCTAGAATCTAACCAACTTCTTTATCCACTGGACCATGTGTCCTCAGTGGATAAAGACGTAATGTAAGTAATATAAGAAACATGTCATTTTACACTGGGGTCTGGAACTAAACTGAAATTTGTTACAGTATGTATAGATACACCCTTGTGCAAATTAATTGAAACAAAACGAATAATTCCATTATTTATTTATTTTTGTATTTTTCCCAATGAAACATGACCCAGTGCACATGTTAGCACGTCGTAAGTCCATTTCACGAAGTCTTTCCTTGCAGACTGACCACAGATTCTTGATTGGATTTAAAACATGACAGATTCCCGGCCAGTCTATAGTAATTTGATTTGCTCACTGGTAAGGCTTTCCAGTGTGTTCGTACAGCGTTACAATTTTCGTACCCTTCCTTGGAGTAAAGTCCATCGCAGACAATGGCCGTAGAACAACTAATCGAAAGTCGAGACAAGAGTGTCTGGGCGTGATGAAAATCTGATGCAATCACGGATGACGCAATATTTTTCAAGGCCAAACAAATTTCATTATACATACCCATATTACTGCGCACCACTGCAATTGACCTAATCTGGGGGAAAATAGAAATTGATTACACCTTGTCACTCCAGAGGGTCTGAAACTGACTGTATAATGAAAGAAAGAAAACTAAACTTTATTGTTGGAAGGTTAAATATGGTTATGAGATGTCCGTTTTCTTTTTCTTGGTCCAGAAGTTAGGGTAAGTCAGTACAAGAATGGTTACTTTGATTGCGCTCAAGTCAGCCTTGCGCTGAGTTGGAACAGCCGGAGAAAAATTTCATAGCTTGAAATTTTTGGAAGACATGTCCGAATGTCATGCATCAGAAAGTGGGCAGAGTGTAGTGGGATTTATGTGTCGTTTACGCGAAGGTGTGTGTCCAATATGCAAACAAAGAAGATAGAAACATACAAATACCAGAGTTTCTTCTTCGGATGTTTATTCGTTTTATGGTGACTGTAGTGGGCCAATGTTCCCAATGTCTTTTCGATAGGTCTGTTTTTCATTTTGGCTTACAAGTAAGTTAGGAATACAATGGTTAAAATGGTCGTGCTCAAGTCAATCCTTGCACTGAGTTGGGACGACCAATTCACTGACTTCATGAATAGGACTGCCAAAATACGCCCGAACGATGTCGTTTGAAAGTGAAAAAGAGTATGAATCTGTCCTTTCCGTAAGTGGCGTCATAAAATCGTGCATGTGATCAGAAACCCTTTCCGGTTTCTCTACGATAGCATGCGTCATGGGAAAATAGATTTCTTTTTGTTTCATCTTCCCACAATATATATATATATATATATATATATATATATATATATATATATATGAAAAAATGTGTGTGTGTGTATATATATATATATATATATACACACACACATTTTCACACATATATATATATATATATTTATAATATATGAAAAATGTGTGTGTGTATATATAAATATATATATATGTGTGTGTATGTGTGTGTGTGTGTGTGTGTGTGTGTAATATATTATATATATTATTTTTATATATTATATAGCTCAATATCAGAGATAGAAAATATATATATATATATATATATATATATATATATATATATATATATATATATATATATTGTGAAAAAGAAGTTATGGTGTGATTGCAAAATTTAGAAAAAAATCTACGAAAATGACAAATAATCACGACACTTAAACGTACGCACACCCTGCAGACATGATGGTTAAATTGTTTAAATTACGCAAAAATGAAAATAACACTGACATCTCATTTTAACAGATATATTTACCAAAATTACACAAAAATATCTTGAAATACTAAAGAGTAAATTTATTCAATAAAATCGGCATTGGCTTCAACCACGGCCTCCAGACGACTTCGAAATCTCTTGCATCTCTTCTGGATGGTCTCCTTGTTTGATTTGGGGAATGCTGCCATAATCCTTGCCTTCAGTTCATCTTTGGTGTTACAAGGAGTATTTTTGATCTCTCGCTCAACTGCACCCTAAACATAATAATCAAGGGGTTGCAGTCTGGGGAGGTAGGTGGCCAGATTTAAGTGTATGTGGTCGTATAAATTATCTGATAGCCATGACTGGGCTTTCCTGCATGTGTGGCATGGGTAGAGTTCTGTTGCCAAACATTGGACATTCTACCAGCCATCCTCTTGACACACGGCAGCACTACCTCAAGGCACTTGATGTAGGCCTCTGTGTTGAGTGCGAGGCCCTGTGGGAAGAGTAATGGAGGCATAACTTCGCTATCACTAGTGAGCACTCTAAACACCTTCATAATCACCATTAGACTCTTTCCGAATCCTCGGCACTTTCCTCAGATTGACAGCCAAAATACACTGAAATATTCGTATTGTAGATTCCGAATGCCAAGCAGTACAGCATACCGTTTCCAAATTTCTGGTGGAGTGAATTGCATGATGCTGCTCTTTTTCTCACAGACAGTGCCCAACAGAACATACTCTACTCTGCAGTTGACAGACTCAAAAACAAAGCACATGCGTGAAATTAAAAATATAAAATGGCGACAATTTACCCATCGCATCCTGGATATGTGTTTGTGTGTGTGTGCGGGTGTGTGTTTGTGTGTGGGTGTGTAGTGAAAAATCTCACTTATGAACATAATTCTTTAGTTTAGATAGATAATTATTCAACTCTCGATACAGTATCTGGATAAAAACTGAAGACTATCTAGCTTTATTCTCCGCGACAAGCATTTAGTAGATTTAAACGTTGATTTCCTGTGCCACCTTAGAACAGGTAAAAAGTCCACCTGACAGGTGAGTAGATTTATAGATTTGTTAGATACGAGTTTATCGAACCTGGAGGATTGTGAAATATGCATAGAAATGGCTTATTGATTATTTGACTTAAAACATCAAGTTAAATAAAACTTCCCGCCTACGTAAAAATACATATGCGTGGAAATGCATATAGATCCAGTGAAGGATCCGACAGCAGATAAATAAAATATATAGCAACAGTCATTGATTTACACGTTATTTTCAGGAACTACAAGTGTATTGTTGCTTAGAGAGATAAAAATGTATTGAATCTGACCTACTGAATATTCTCGATATAGAAGGTATTGGATAAATTCTTATAAGGTGATTGACTGATTCGTTTTTTACGGCTTGTCAACCCATTTCAGGTTACTGAAAGCCAGAAAATATATTTAGATTGTAAGAATGTTTTGGAGATAATAATGGTTTAGTGATAAAGTCTTACGTCTAGGAGGTAAGAGCTGGGTTTCTACCTAATCAGAATTTGATAGACAAACAAGAAATTATAAAGTGTTTATAAAATGGGGTATCAAACCTATGTTATAATCAATATGTAAACTGATCCCTCAGTTTGTGACCACGGTAGTTTCCATCTAATTATATTCCAGAGAATGCAAATAAATCTAAAAGACATGCCTGTGTAGCTAATCAGTATTTCATTGATTGATTCGTTTTCTACGGCTTATCAACAAACAAGAAATTATAATGTGGATATAAAGTGGAGGACCAATTTTATATTTAAATCTATATATAAAATGATCCCTCACTTTGTGGCCACGGTCGTTTCTATACATTTATATTCCAGAGAATGTAAATAAATCTAAAAGACATGCCTGTGTAGCTAATCAGTATTTCATTGATTGATTGATTCGTTTTCTATGGTTTATCAACCCTTTGCAGGTTATTTAAAGCCAGAAAATAATTTTAGATTGTAAGAATTTTTTAATGGAGATAAGTTTAATTTTAGAGACGTTAAAGTTAACAAGCCATCTTTTCCCCCAGTTAATTACGGTCTTGATGTCGTTTTGGACATTGGCTGCCATTTTGACTTTGTCTGACTGATCAGCCTTACTATCGCGGCAGGAGTAGATTGTTATGTCGTTATGAAAGGACACGGCACACAGAAGGAGTAGAAGTGAGAGGGGAAAGATGCACAAGTCTCTTAGATACGAGGTAGGCTATTCTATTTTCTTTTTTTTTGTTTTGTTTTGCTAAGTCCTAAACGTGTGAGTCGGCTGAAGCGAAGAGTTTTTATTTTAAAGAAACGACATAATCACTTGAATGTGAAGCAGCATACGACTTTTGTTTGGCCACACGTGCTAGACTATTTGGTAGGATATAAAAGCATTGGAGTCATTACTGTCTTGTCTCTCGTCCGCGACGCCATCTTAAATATTTATGGAAAGAGAAAACGAGAGAAGAATGAGAGTTCACAGCAGTAAAAATTGCAGACGGATTTAAAGAACAAATCGAATTCTTCTCGAGGGAAGACGCAAAGGATTTTATAGGATGAATTTAAGGGGAAATATTTTGGTTGTGTTTAATAAGATTTAATGTACATGTGCTTAGTGACACGGAAGTAATATTAATGTTCTACGCGACACAAATGCACACAAACCACACATATATACATATATATACATATACATATATACATATACATATATATACATATATTAGTACACATGCATCTGTATCTCTCTAGCTATCTGTCTGTCTGTTTGTCTCTGTCTTTTTCTGAGATGATGCATATTTTTCTAACAAGATTTCTCGAATATTCAAGCCGGTAGATGGAAATAAATATACTATTTAATTAATAAATAAAAACAGAACATCTAATTAAACATGGGGGTTCCTGTTTGCCCTCTATTGGTCCTGTGAGTATCAGATTTTCCAAGCTCTCTTTTCTCATTATGTTCCCCAGAAACATCAACTGTCTTTTCCTGGTGTAGAGTATTAGTTCCCTTTTTGTCTCCATTTGCTTCAAAACTTCATTGTTGCTCACATGTGAAGCCCATGGTATCCTCAGCGTCCTTCTGTAGAACCACATTTGTATTGCTTCACGTCTCCTCTTCCTCTTTGAGGGGATCGTCCAGCACTGACTGCTATAAAGACGGACAGATATTCCATAGCAGTTTAGTACACATTTCTTTGGCTTTAGCGAAATTTTCCTGTTTCTTTGCACTTTGCTTGTGCCACATCCTACCTCGTGGGGAGGTCGGTAAATAAGCTAGAGCTGTCCGCGTGCTCAGCTGGTAGCTGTTGCCGAACTCTCTGCCCGAAGGCAGAGAGAAATCCGGACGAGGCTATGGCGAAGGGTAGAGTCTCGTCCAGGGAGGTAGACAGACCCAACCCCCTTTATTAAAGGTCTACTGGGAATTTTTGGCCCAGCCTACGTGCTCGTATTGCCCCACATTAAATTCAGCCTTGTGTCACATTCTACCTCGTGGGGATGTCGGTAAATATTACTGACTACTTGATGATTGTGTTCAAACACATGAAACTAGTAGTAATGGCCAGTCATTGCCAACCTAGTTTTTGAATTAATATATATATATATATATATATATATATATATATATATATATATATATCAAATATGTGGTGCAGTTTAATTTATATTACAATGAATCATTCATACAAAAAGTAGATTAGTAAAGTTAATGATATAAAATGGCGAAATCACTTCATCTGAAGCGAAATTACCTTATTTTCGCTACGATCTAGGAGAATTGATATTACATAACTACAACAATCTCTTCTTTTTGTTTATACCAAATGTTCATGTTTCTTAATACTTCGTTTAGCTTTTGGAAGGCATCTTTCTCTATTCCAAAGCGTCTTCAGATTCTTGTATCCTATTTTCCACCCTCAAATATAAGAATCCCTAAACAGTTTTATTTCTTTATTCGCTTTATTTTCCAATTCACAGTTCGTTCCTTGGGTTGTTGCTTTTGCTCACATGTTCTATGATTTTTCTTCTATTTTTAAAATCATTTCACTCAAAGCAGGGTGATAATGCCGCTAGGACGCTGGGGGAAATATACGGAGTGAAAGTGAATGAAAAGAATTTAGTGAGGTAAAGGATAGTAAGGGAACAGGGTTAAGGAAGATGGCGATTGACGTTACATTTAAATTTTTGAAGATTGTAAATGGCAGAGAAGTGTGAGAAAAGAAACTATTTGGATTGAAAAGGTGGTTGCATTTAGCTATTTTAATAGTAAAATGTTGAGACTTAGTTGCCAGTCTAATGTCACGCTTAAATAGTCGCCAAAGAGGAAAGCTCATCAGAACAATTGCCATAAAAATATTTGTATTGGGTTGGTGCATAATTATCAGGCGTTTTTCAAAGCGAGGTATTTGTTAATAAAAATTGTTGTTTTATTTCTTAGTTGCCAGTCTAATGTCACGATTAAATAGTCGCCAAAGAGGAAAGCTCATCAGAACAATTGCCAAGAAAATATTTGTAGTAAAGACAGAATGAAGCCACATCACGTCGATGGGAAAGTGATTGCAGATGAGATGCCAGGTCAGGATCGATTACATTACAGACTTTTCTTTGGATTTTATCAAGAATATTAAGAATATAGTAGGAGCACTAGACCAGATATGGCAGCCAAATTCAATGCATGGATGAAAGGTAGATTTATTAATGTCCAAGATGGATTCTGTCTAGAAAAAAAGGTCTGGCACAGCACAGTGAACCACCTTTTTTATTTCTTATTACTATAAATGTAATTGAGTTGCTATCGCTGTTTCTTTTTATTTCCTTACGAATTTGGATTCGGGAGACCGTTTTGATAAAGCACAGTTCAATTATATATTTAAGGAAACACACATCTCTCTCAGTGGGGCTTCTGCAAATCTATATCTAGTTTTGTACCTGCTAATTTTTAAATGGGCTTTTTAAGCTAACACTTTTTTATTCGTTTCACCCCAAGCCAGGCAATAATGTCATTAAGATTCAAGTTGTTACTGGAAAAGAAAGAGAATGAGAAAACAATATAAGAGTAGGATTCCGGAAGACAGAAGATAGCGATTGGAGTTCTATTTAAATTTTTTAAGATTGTTTTTGGCAGGGAAGCAAGAAACTGGAATAAAGTACCACAGGCAAGAAGTGCGAGAAAAGAAACTATTACAATAGAATAAGTTGCACTTTAGTAGTTCAACAGTAAAACGCTGAGTTGACAATCTTGTACTACTCTGAAATTCATGGAGGCAAAGCACCAAAGAGGAAAGCTCATCAGAACAATTGCCATAAAAATATTTGTATCAGTTTGGTGCATAATTATCAGGCGTTTTTGTAGGCAAGTTATTTGTTAATAAAAATTGCTGTTTTGTTTACTTTTTTTAATAAAACATTTTATTTTTAAACATTTTATATTTTATAAAAATGCATGTTGATAATCATATGCTCCCGAATAATCATTTAAAAATGTTATTGTTGAATTGTTATGTTTCTTTTTTTCATAATATATATTGCTTTAGAAACGCTCGATAATTATGCACCAATCCAATAGTAAGGATTTTATCACGAATCTTAAAATATCTATAGTAGGAGGATCAGGCCAGATACGGCAGCCATATTCAATGCACGGATGAATTATAAATGAGGAAGATGGATTCTGACAAGAAGAATTGTCAGGCACGATAGAGGGAATCATCATTCCTGACAGTCGACGTAGCAATCGATTCAATATTGTCGTTCCTGTTGGAACAGGAAAAAAAGGTACAGTGTGTTACTCTTCTGGAGTTTAACATCAGCCATGTTGATAGTAGGTAGAAAAGGTTTTCTGTGATGATTAAATATAATCGGTTTTGTTTTGCAGGCATCAAATTTTACGATCCATTCCTTACCCCTGATAAAAACTGATTGGACGTCCTTTTCAAGAGAATCTGCTAATTTTACTTTGCCTGATCTGTCGGACTTGCTATCAACCTCAAATTAATCTAGTTTATTGAACATCCACAATGTTACAATTATTTGTAATTCACTGAAACCTGGATATGAACGTGATGCGATTCTAAATAATTCTGTTATTTTCTTGTTAGCAGGATCTTT